TTGCCATGCCTTACCTCCTATATCATTGGGACTTCACACTTTTTGTTTGTAAGCATTAAATAGCTCTATTAATAGTAGATATTACTTCTAATATGTTGTTTTAATTTCTTATTGTTACCCTAACAAATAACTACAATTTAAGTGCCTAAAAAAACATACGTTTACCATTTTACAGTTCAGGAGGCTTCAGTGGATTTCACTGGGCTAAAATGAAGGTATTGTTAAGACTGCATTCCTTTTTGGAGATTCTTAGGGAGAATTCATTTCTTTGCCTTTACCAGATGCTAGAGAATGCTCACATTTCCTTATTCTGGGAATTCTGCTTCTGTCTTCAGAGTTAGCAAGGTAGGATTTCTTTGGTCCTTGTGCAGTAGCACGTCTTTCTAAAATCGAGAAAGGTTGCACTTTTGAATGACTTTATCAAGCCAACCCAGTAATGTAAAGTTATCTCCCATCTTAGGTCCTTACACTTAATGATGTCTGCACAATGCATTTTGCCATGAAGGTAGCACGTCCACATACTCTATGATTGCAGTGCCGCATCTTTGAGCGGCCACTGTTCACTATTAACTGCTCTTTCCAAATGAATTGTTTTCTTATAAAATAAATTCGTGTTGAAAATAATAGTTGTTAGCTGGGTGAGGTGGTGCATACCTGCAATCCCAGCGCTCAGGAGGCTGAGGCAGGAGGACTGCCACGACTTCAAGGCCAGCCTGGGCTGCCTAGTGAGCTCAGGGGCAGCCTGAATTACACAGCAAGACCCTGCCTCAAAAAGCCAAAAAAAAAAAGGTGTTTTCTTTGGGGAGGAGGGGATTACTGGGGATTGAAGCCAGGGCCTTCACATTGAGCTACATCCCCAACCCTTTATCTGGTTTGTTTGTTGTTTGTTTGTTTATTTGTTTGTTTGTTTTTGAGGCCAGGTTTCACTCAGTTGCTGTTACTCAGGCTGGGGTCAAATTTGTAAACCTCTTGCCTCAGCCTCTCAAAGGCATTACAGGTGTCTACCACCTTACCTGTCTTTAAAAAATAGTTGTTTTAAAGAAAACTAGTAAAACGTGATGGGATGTGGCCAAAATAATGACAGTAGAATTTGAATGACTTTGAGAAGGATTTTATCTGAAAAATGCCCAGTACAAGGCAAAAGAATGAGCGGCATAAGAAACGAGAAGGGGACAGACCTGCCTACCTCCCCATTGCTCGGCTGCAGCCCTGGCCCCACCCAGAGTTCTCTGGCCACATTTGTTTGGCTTCCTCAAAAAAGAAAGTGTTTGCACCACAGGCAGTCTCCCCTCCGGCTTGAATTTACCAATTCCATATAAATGCTTATTTATAATATGAATTTAAATATCAGGGCCAAACACAGTATGAAAAAGCTCTGAAGATCATAAACTATTTAAAAAGTAGAAATACTGGTTCTTTCTTAAAATGCTGACTTCCCAAAATGTAGTTGCCAAGTCCAAAATGTCAAGCCTTGGCTGGATATTTAAACGATCCCTACTGTACTCATTAGAGGTTGTCTTGCCTAGGTTGGATGTCCTTTTTCCTTTTTCTATTTATTTGCTTGGTTGTTTTTAATAAATATATTGAAGTGATGAGTGCTCATTATTAGTTACACTCATAAAACAATTGTGGATTTTTTGAGAATGGTTCCTGAATTTAGCCAAGTAGAAATTGCTATATAGGTAGAGGGTAGTAGACAATTGGTGGATCAGGAGCCCCAATTTAGATAAACATTTAAAAGGATTGGTAGTTCTTCAACTGTATACCTTCATTGAACTAATTGAATTTATGGGGAGAAATACCTATACTCCTTTTGAGATAATAAGTCATTTCAGTTCTAATCATTTAATGCCTTTTTCTTCTTTTAATTAAAACTACATAGGACCGGGGATTTAGCTCAGTGGTTCTGGCGCCTGCCTCGAAAGCTGAAGGTCCCGAGTTCGATTCCCAGTACAAAAAAAAAAAAATCAAAAAACCTACATACAGTTCTGAAGGGGTTTTGTTTAAAAATCTTTTTCTCGGGCCGGGGATTTAGCTCAGTGGTTTCGCCGCCTGCTGCGCAAGTGCAAGGACCGGAGTTCGATCCCCGGTACCAAAAAAAAAATCCTTTTCTCCAATAAAAACAATTTCAAGCTTCAGTATTCCATTCCCTAAAAGAAAATACAATTTTGTCCTGAAAGATAATGTTCAAGATAATCTATTTTCTTTGATCACCACATAAATAGCAAGAGTTTTATATTAGCTCTCTTCTCTTCCTCCTCCACCCTTCCCCCCACTTTACATTGTGCCAATTACAGGTGGATGCTCAATATCACCCCACAGCACAAGATAAATAAGCTTGGAAGGTTTCCTAGCAACATATTGTTCTGGGAACCTGCTCTGTTTCCCTGCACAAGATGAAGCCAAACATCCTAGAATCTCAGCCAGATGGGAAAGGATTAGCTTATTGAGAGTGTTTAATGCATTTTTTTAAAAAAAGTTCAGTTTGAAATAAACCTGTTAACATAAATAGCAAGCTTGATTTTTAAGAGGAAACTCTTTTACATGTGAAAAACAATCTTAGTATTAGTGTGAATTTTAAAAATGGGGTTTTAGAAGAATTCTCCAGGAATAAGCTTGCAATATATAATTCAGCCATTGATGAATGGATCCATTTTAGAACTGTATAGAGAATACTTACATAGGACTGATATTCAGCCTGGCACCCAGTGGCATGGTATTCTAGCTACTGAAATGCTTGCGATGTGATGGGTAAAAATGGCTGTGGAGTAGATTCTCTCTTCACAGTGCTTTAGATTGGCCCTGATTGTAGAGATACACTTGAAACACCTTGTCACTGCTTAAAACCCTGAGACTTCTTCCCTCCACTCTTTAGCTCCAGTGCTATTTTTGTGTCAGTGATTTGCTGTTACTCTTAAGAGTCTGTTTTTGGTTTTCTAAATATATGGTTGAGAGAAGAAAACAAAAGAAAATGGAGCCCCCACCATCAGAATTACTGTTGCTGTTTTGTTAGCACATGATCTGTGTACTTTCTTTGTTTATCTAATAATTTGTGAAGCCACACAGTTGGCAGATGATGTCTTCCTTTCTGTTGCACTCTAGTTCGTCACAGTGTGCTGTGGTAGGTCTCTGGAGATGGGGTAATCAAGGATTAGTGTTCCTGATGACAGTATTCAACAGTGGCTTTGCAGTTCAGTTATACTCTGGAAAATGTCTTCACTTGTTTGATGGAGATATTTCCCCATCAGCCATATGAATATCCTCATAATGTGGCTGTTGCACACCTTCTATCTGGTTTGAACTAAGACTGTGAAACTTCCCAATTATAGTCAGAAACAGATAATTCCAGTACTTCATGGGGCTCCTGGATGGTAATAATGAAGTTAATAGACTAAGAAGAATGATATGGGTATCCTTGTTTTTGTTTTTGTTTTTTTACAAAATCTGGGTAGATTTCAGAGAATTGAAATAATCGTCAACCTGGAAAACTGTAAAATAATCATATTCATGCTGGGAGCTTTTAATTCTTTCTCTTCTCTCTTTTCCCTGGCATGCGTGTTCTCATATATATGTATATATTATATATTTTGTATTTATATATTATATATTTCAAAATATTTTATTTTGAATTCAATATGAAATATAGCCTGTAGAGGGCTTAGAATGGGCAAAATCCTTTGGTACATATTGTGATTGATACTGAGACTGATTGTCATTCTTGCCTTTACTGACTCTACAAGAAGTCGGTAAAATACCATGTTTTTAATTTTTCAAAATTTTTTTCTCCAACTCCTTTTCTTTGCAATCTAAACATTAAGGAAACATTTTTATATTTAAAGGAATTTTATAATTTTTTTTTTTTTTTATGGGTACCGGGGATCGAACTTGGGACCTTGCGCTTGAACCAGAACCACTGAGCTAAATCCCCGGCCCAGGAATTTTATAATTTTGATTGTCCAAAGAAAGGTTGAAAGTAGACTTAATTTGTTATATGGCACAGGTTTAATACATTAATTTTGACTGAATAGTTTTTCTAAAAAAATAAAAATTTTCCATGAGATAGGCATTATTTTAGATACTTTACCTATGTCATATTTAATTCTCCTGACAACTACTATGAGGTAGAAATTTGTTTACTTACAGTTTTATAGATGAAGAAACTGAGGCTGACAGCTAAAATACCTGTTGGTTGAGGTTCATGAATAAATATACAGTTCATAAATAAGTAGTAGGCATTCAGACCCTGGTTTATTTAATGCCAAATTCTATGACTTTTATACTGTGCTATGCTTGCTTATTTTTAAAATTCTAAGATCCTGTAAGATTCTAGTCTTTTTAAGAAAGAGTAAACTACTGTCTTTTGAGGATAACAATTTTAGTAAGAAAAAGATATGCTGTTCGGATGATTCTCTATTATTCCATTTAGTATAGTGACCCTGTATTTAAGTTTCAACATCAAACTTTAGAATATTTTCAGTATATTAACTCTATTTAAAAATATTTCATTGGCCGGGGATTTAGCTCAGTGGTTCCACTGCCTGCCTCACAAGTGCAAGGGCCCGAGTTCGATCCCTGGTACCAAAAAAGATAAAATAAAATTTAAAAATAAAATAAATACATAAAAATATTTCATATTGTTCGGTTTATTTCTATAGAATAATTTTTATTTTCAAGATGATAAAAGGCCACAAGTGAATTATACCTAAAGATAGTTGAAATAAATGACACTAAATACACAAAATACATACACAAGACAAGGTCATGGTATCAGCCATATTATTGAACAGAGGTGATAAACTATGACTATTTTTGTAAATAAAGTACAGTAACAAAATAGTTGAATGGTGGTGACTCCCACAATGTAGAGCTTAAGATATGTGCTATCTAGAACTTTGAGTTAGGAATGCTCCTTGAGAATGCTAGAAATATAATTGAGAATTACATTTAAAATGTTCCTAACTTATGATCATATCTAACATGCATTTCTTCAAACTTTTCAGGTACCAACTAAAAAGCTGAAGAAATATGAAAAAGAATATCAGACAATGCGGGAGAGCCAGCTGCAACAGGAAGACCCAATGGATAGATACAAGGTATGGGAGCCACTCTGCACCCATCACCAATGCACTTTTTTACCCTGTAGCAGCATTTGTGGCAAGTTCAGTTCCCTCTGTTCCACTCTGATTGGCTTAGATGCTGTTTGATCATGCTAACTGTCCAGATGTGTCTTCATTTCAGACTCTCAGGTAGTCAACCATATTTCTTTTCTTTCAGTTTGTATATTTGTAGGTAATTCCAGCTGTTGCATTTATACTGGGACTCTTCATAAGAAGCTGAAAGAAAGAGAGGGAAAAGGAAAGAAAGTGGCTTTCTACTTTCAAAAATGAGAGAAAAAAAAGGAAAATGGCCAAGTACTGTTTTAGCTGTGCATGATCACTTCCACAAAGACTTTTAGAAGGTGAACTGTTCCGAGACTGACACAAGGATGTTTCAAACTTACCTCTGTCTGTAGCAAGTATTAAAAAATACAAACTCACTCAGAAGGAAAAATAAAAGGCACAAAGGTGTATCAAGCACATTAATGGTGTTTGTCGCAGCATTTATTTCCACAAACAAATTGATGGATAACAGTGACATCTGTGTGTAGTTTGAAGTCTCAAAATGATTTCAGTTTAATATCCTAGTTAGCTGTGGTATTTTTAAAAACTTCATGAAGGTAGACCTCTTCAATGGCACTGAGCAACACTGGTTCCTAGATCCAATGCTGTAATTTTTCCATGTGAAATATTCTTGTCTCCTTTCAACATGTTCTACTTCTTCAGACTCACACAGTATAGTTCCCTCCATCTTCTTATCATTACCCTGCCAATGCCAAAATATCCGGCTAAGAAAAGTACTGTTATGACATTAATAATGAAATCACTGTGGGATGACCTCCACTTTTGTAACTAGAGTTGTCTGTACGTGGTCAGAGAGCTGGACACAGACAGCACAGTCACACGGTACGTCTTCAGTTTGTTGCTGAATTGAGTAGCTTGGGTTGTGGACAGAGGAGCATGATGGAAGGTGTGTGTGGATTTTGTAGTTAGACCAGAGTTCAAACCCTGGCTCTCTAAAGCATGTTTCCAACTAGGATACAGAATCCTAGTTGGGAGTTTTAATATCTATGCCACTGTTCAGCATCTTAGACTATATATTGAACCTATTTCTCATTTGTAAAATGTGTAATGTATATGATTTCTTGGTGAACTGTTGTGAAGATGAGAGATGCTATAGGCTAAGTACTCAGTGCATAGTTGGTATTCAGTAAATATGGTTATTAATAGTTTATGAAGTTTACTACTGAATTATCCAAGAGTTACTATAATCATATAACCCTGAATGGGTCTACCCCTTCAGTCCCTCATAGACTATCCTTGTATTTCTCTTAAGTATTGTTATTCAATCATCTCATTTTAGACAGTATGTTTCTCCTCTTGATTATAGAACAGGCTTAAGAACTGATAATAAAATCCTTGAATAGCTGTGACAGACAACTATTAGCAGGTAAGATGCCCATAATTCCAAACATCATTATTCCCTCACTAAGTCCAATCTTAATGTAGGTTCTATAACAGACTGCTTTAGAAAGGCTCGAAACTAGTAATGATAAAATATTATTAAGGATCCCAAATGAAATCCTCCTACTACTTGTATCATTCTAATTTTCCTAATGCCACCATCATTATGAATAAAAATCTGTGGACAGTGCTTTAAAGTAAAAAAAAGAGAAGGAAATGAAAACTCAAACTTGTACATTCAAAAACAGGGACTAAACTATTATTGAATCTTAAATCCTTTTTGTATCAAAGCAGGTATGTATAAATAAACAATATTATATATATTATTTTTAAAATCACTTATAATATGTAAGATTATCAATTAGTATAGTTTTTAATTGAAGAGTATACAATTAAACTTTTTGTTTTTGTTTTGAAAGCAAATACTAATTTTAGGTTCAGTATGATGACCTCTTATTTGCACATATCAGATATCCTCTAGGGTTCTTTCTTTTGGGTTACTGTAATAGTGTCTCATATATTATCTAACTAATATTTTTATACCTTTTAATAATGTCTAGATATTTGTCCTGGTGATATATTTTGTAAAGTTACAATACTGAAGTTATAATTACATTTTCAAGATAGTTGACAACATAGTTTGACAACATAGTTAACAGCATAGTTTCTCATCATCAACAGATTTGGTCCTTCAGATGATCATTATCTAGTTTAAAAAACTAATTATAATTATCTTGATTAGAGCAGCAAAGTATCTTAGAAAATGCCTTTAAGGATCTAAATTTAAGAATCTAGATCTAATCTTGTCAAGAATAAGATCTCTTGGCCCGGGATTTAGCTCAGTGGTTCTGCCACCTGCCTCGCAAGCGCAAGGTCCCAAGTTCGATCCCCGGTACCAAAAGAAAAAATAAGATCTCTGTACTGGGAGTGAGCACTTTATAACTCCTAAATTTGAGACTGGGAACCCAGTTTATGAACAGCTGAGGAAAGTCTTTGAGGTCATGGCAGTGGTTCGGTAACACCTCTCCTTATGGAACTAACGTGGCAAGAGTCAGGGACACTGAATTAGTCATTTTTTTTTAAATGCCCAGAAATGTCATACAGGACACATACAGGATATTCTAAGATATAGTTCAGTTTCTTGCTGTTCTTCTTGGACTTGGTAGCAGACATTAAAGGGATATTGCAGCCAAAGAGATGAGTAGCGCACACTGTAGTCCCGGAAACTCAGCAGCTGAGGCAAGAGGATCATGAGCTCACAAGTTCAAAACCAGCCTGGGGAACATATCAAGTCCCAGTATCAAAAAGAAAAGGGGTGGGGGGACTGTTTCAGAGTAGCCAGAGTTGGAATTAATGACCCAGTAATGTAGGAAAGGCTCTCACTGGGCACACTTCTTGCTGTATCAGTCTAAACTTGTGCTTTGTGCCTATTTTTATGACATAAAATGTCATAAAAAAAATCTGCATACTCAGGTTATATCACTATATTCACCTGTATTCAGCACTTCAATCTCAACCACGAAGAAGGGGAAAAATACTGTTGATATAAATTTAAACCTTAAAACAATAAGCATGGTAAAAATATAGATTTAGGGTGTGGTGATTGTTGTATAACTGTGAATATGCTAAAACCACTGAATTGTACATTTAAAAGCATGATTTTGTGGTTTGTAAATGAAATCATTCCCCCTCAAAAAACAAGCAAAACATTCCAAGAAGATGAGACTCTGGCCCTCCATTTTTCTTCCATGAACCCATACTTGTATAGAATCCATACTTGTGAGAATGAGACCTTCCTACTATTAAAATTCAAGCCAGTTAGTGATCACTGATCCTGGGTGTGCCCATATTTGTAGGGGAAAGACCAACACAAGTGGGTGGCATATTCATTTTTAGTAATGCTCATTAATTTCTAGGTACATGGAATACACATACACATACATAAAGATAACTTACAGAAATGAATAGATAACACACATGTACATACTGCCTGTACTATCAGTTCTCAGCATCTATTTGTATCTGAAAGTCAGTGAGTACCATAGTGACCATTGATAGCCTTTAGTGTTCTCTTTCTGTTTAATTTTGTGACAAGATGCCAAAAGACAGAAAGAAAACTTAATGGAAGACAAATATAAAATATTTTTCTAAATCTCTTTTAATATCCTTCTTGTGCTTGACAAAATTTGGGTAATAGTTTTATGTTCTCTGATAACTCAGTTTGTAAATTTATTGATTGTTTTCAAGTGAAGTGAAATGGGGATATAGAAATATATCAAGTAAATTTTCATTTTTTTGCAAATTCCCAGCAAATATACATTCATGGGTATGTATAACTGTTTTAGACCTCCCCCCCTTTTCTTTTGGTACTAAGGATCGAACTCAGGACCTTGTGCTTGCAAGATGGGCGCGGTGCCACTGAGCTACATCCCTGGCCTTGTTTTAGACCATTTAAAAACTAGTAACCAAATACCCAAGCAGGTATTAACTTCAGAAATCAAAATACTATTTTCAGTCTTTAGGAAATAAATTGTTTTCATTATGGAGAAAAGTAGTTTTCTAGTGATATAATCAATTTAGAGAACTGTAGCCTTCATCTGCCTTTGGAGAATGACATGCTTTTCCTGTTTAATTAAAGAACTACTTTCATAAATGTAATTTAAGCCTTGAAAAACATAGCCAATTAATTAAATTCAGTGATTCTCCCAAAGCACAATAAAAGTCACCACAATAAGGGTGACCTGTTCAGATTGGGAAATCCTGGAAAGAATCTGGAATGCTTACACTCTCTTGTGCTTCATATACAGATCATATTATGTACATAATTTCTAATTAAAATGTCTTATACCAGTTCAGTATAATTAAATTTAGAATGTTTAACTTCTTTCTTGAGGTTAGTTAGGTCTAGTATGTATGTATGTATGTATTTATGTGCTGTACAGGGATTGAACCCAGGGACTCATACAAGTGCTCTTACCACTGAGCTACATCTTCAGGCCTTTTCATTTTTTACTTTTTTTTTAAAACAGGGTCTCACTGAGTTCAGCCTGGTCTGAAACTCCATACACAGTCCAGACACTTTGATCATTCTACCTCAGCCTCCCAAACACTGGGTTTATAGCCATACACTACCACATCCAACTTGTATTTTTTGTGTAAGAGTCTCACTGAGTTTCCCAGATTGGCCTCAAACTTGTCACCCTCCTGCCTTAGCCTCCCAAGTAGCTGGGATTATAGGCATGTGCCATCATGCCAATCTTAATCTTTTTTGTTCTTTGTTTTTTTGAAACAAGGTTAAACTATGTAGTTCAAGCTGGCCTTGGACTTACTATGTGGCCCATGCTGGACTCAGACTCACAGCAGTCCTTCTGCTTGAGCCTCCTCTAAGTGCTGGTATTACAACCATATGCCACCATGCCCACATCAATCTTAATGTTTTCTTAAATGGAAATATAAAGCCTGGCCTGGTAGCCCACACCTATAATCACAGCACTCAGGAGGCTAAGGCAGGAGGATTGCCTTGAGATTGAGGC